CCCCTGGCTCTGCCGGTGCTCTGCATCCCTTCCTAGGCCCAGCAGGTTGCTCGCAGCACGGAGCCAGGATCTGTGCACAGTCCTTCTGCCGCAGGGGTGCTGGGATCTCCAGCGGGCTTATAGCCCAGCTCCGGCTCCATGTCTAGGCTATCAGCAGCACCATAGTGGGGATGGTGCTGCTTCACAGCCACCTTACTTTAAGTGGGGAGGATGCCTCTCCCCACCAGGGACCCTGCAGGCAGATATGAGCAGTGATGACACCATGGTGCCTGCTGGTCTGGGGTCTGTCACCAGCTCCTGCCTCTTGACCACCTTTCCAGAGTGTGGGAGTGGGCCCACTGCACTGCACTGTAAGGCGCTGCACTAGAGCAGAAATCCACAGTGGCCCGTGGGTTCAAGGGCTTCCCATCACCCTGCTTACAGTCCTCCAGCAAAGCCTGGCCTCCTGGATTGCTCCCTGCAGAGCTGGGGGTGCTTGCAGCTGGAGAGGCTCCATGGGGCTTTTGCCTGTGGTACATGAGTGCCATTCATGGTCGCTTGTGCCAGGCTGCATCTTTGCTGGGGAGAGGGTTTGAAAGCATCCACCCCCCTCACTGTGCTCCCATCCCATCCTGACAGGTAGCCCCGATGGACATGAGAGCGGAGCAGCACATGTCCTGACCCCCGCCCCACACGGCTGTGCCAGCCCCCGTGATTATGGACGAGTGGAAACCCAACCCTGCCGTCAAGCCCCACAAGAAGCGGAGCTGGTATCTTGCCTGGAAGTACAAGCTGATGAACCAGCGCACGCTGCGGAAGCTGTGCCAGGTGAGTCACCCGCAGGCCTGCAGTAGATTAGGAAGGATAATCTGCAGGATTTGTGAGTTTATGGAGATGCTGTGTGGATGGAAGTGGGTCTGCTGGCAGTCCGGGTGACCTAACGTGCTGGGGAGATGTAACTTGTCCCCCCAAAAGTTACCTCCAGTGATTTTGTGCTCATGCGTGGAAGGGTCTGACATGTCGAGCAGCAACTTCCAGCTGCAAATGGACCTGTTAGGTGGCTGTGGCAGGAGATATAATTATCCAGGTGTCCTCAGGAAGCTTTCAGCTAGAAGCCTGACTGAATGCTCCCCTTCTGGTTCCAGACCCATGCCAAGTGCTGCAGGGCTCAGACTGCAGTGGGAAACCATCCTTGCCCCATTTAGTTTGCAAACCAAGCCTGGAATAAGACACAACAGGTGGACAGATCAAATAGGGCTGGGTAACAGGATCTCATGCCCCAGAGGCAGCTGGCGTCTGGGAAAGCTGCAGGCTTGGTTGCTCGTGCTGTAAATCTGCTAATCCTCAGCAGGGTCGGCATCCTGGGGGCTGTCTGGGGCTGTAAGAACAGGAAGGGTTTGGCCCCACACCAGGGAGCTGCAGAGAAGGGGCTGCTCCTGAGATGAGCAGAGCTTGTGAGATCTGGCAGCTGGTTGCTGTGGGAGGGAGCAGGGGAGGGTTTTGCATGTGCCTGGGAGGACGAAGACTCATGAGGGAACTCGGGAACGAGAGGGCTTGGTCCTGCATCCCCTGGAATGCTCAGGGATTGGGAACAGGCCTGGTCATTGAGGGAGGCATTGCTGGGGGGCTAGAGCCTGTCTGCTGTCACCTCTGTCCTTTGTGTCACTGCTGTGGCTTAAAACACAAATGAAAATTGGTCTAAAATATGTAAACCAGAGTTGCAGGTATGGGGCAGACAGGTCTATAGCAGCTGGGCCTCTATCAGCAGCTCTGACTCAGCCAGCCTTGCTAGACCTGGCTGCTGGCCTTGCTTAGTGCTGCCTTGGTCACCAGGGCTGCTGCCCCATGTCTCCAGTGCTGACCAGGCTGGAGGCAGGTTGGTAAAGTGGCCTTGCTGCTGGCCACCAGGCACAGCTTGCTCCTCACCATGAGCCCAAGGCTCTATTCTTGCCTATTTAAAAGCTTTCTGTGCACAGATCCCAAAGGTGCTCATACTCCTGAGTCAACAGCAGATCAACAAGCCAAAATGCCATATTGACAGTTACATCGTTGTGTGTCTTATTGCTGGTTTTCCATCTTCTTCCTCAGTTACTGCCTGAACCTATTTGGCTGCTTGACAGAGGTAGCAGCAATACATAGCTTTGAGGCAGTAGCTGGCCAGGTAGGACAGGGATCCTGTTGGTGCTTCTCAGCAAGGGCAGGCCTGTGTGTTATCTCAACCCCATACCACACCTCAGAGAATCAAGGATCCTAGAGCTGAAAAAGGCAGCAATTTTTAAGCAGCAAGCTGTTGGGGGCTGAGGGGCAAGGGAAGAGTCAAAATCACCCAAGACCTGTCTCAACATCCCCTTGCAGGGAAACCAGGCTATGAGCAGCCTCCACCAACCTCTCCCCTCTTCTCCCATGTTTGCTGTGGACTCAATGCTGAGTCTTGGGATGCTCCAGGGAGATTAGGAGGACCCTGAGCTTGCCTGGCTGAAACTGGAAACCACCTGGTGCTGAGCCAAGGGGCCAGAGCTTTTGGCCCCTGGGATGAATTGACAGATTCAGCAGCATAGAAGTTAGGTTGGGGTTTCTGTGGTGGCTCTGTTGTGAGCTGGGTGGACCCTCCTGGCCTGGAGCCTGGTGGAGCCCTGCAGCAGTGTTACCTCTGGGGGTAGTAGCTGCTCAGGGCTTTGTGTCTTAAATCCAATGGCAAAGCCTTCTCTCTCTGCATGACTGTCCAGAGCAGCTTTTGAGCTCTGGGCTAGAGCTGTTCCTCAGCCTGGTGCAGGGCTGTATGTACCTGACAGAGACTTTGTTCCTGTGCAGAGCCCCATGCTGCTGTCACCTTTTCACCTGAGCCCTGGGTCACAAAGTCAAGTAAAGACAAATTGCTTCAGCTGAGGTCTTATCTTTCAGTCCTGCATCCCAGGCCAGCACTGCAGCATTAAGACCATCCTCTTGGCCATGGCCAGACGTGCTCTTGCAGCTTACACCTGCAGGTGGATTATTTCCCAGCATGGGATGTTTGTGGTCCAAGCCTTCCCATGTGGCTCTGCCTCAGAAAAGGCCCCTTTAGTGTGGAGTAGTTTCTGCTTTATGCTGAGTCCAAATACCATGAACAAGACTGAAATTGAGCAAGAGAGGAGCAAGGTGCATTTAAGTACAGGTACTTCTCTATTCTCATGGTCTGGAAGCAACATGGCCATGGGCAGTGGTGATGCTCACGTTGGGGGTTCCCACAGACTGCTCCATAGCCCCTGGACCTTCCCATAGCACTCTGTGTTGACATCCATGCAGGTTGCCTTGAAGATGGCTGCAGACAGTAAGGCTGTGGGCTGTTTTCTGCAGCCTGTGTCACAGTGTGGTTTCCTCAGGTCAGACCTCAGCTTCTTCCCTTTGCCTCGGTTTAGTCGCACAGCATCTGTCCCTGTGAAGATGTCCTCTGGTTGCAGAGGGAGAGACAAGAGTAGTGGTGCTGCAGGAGAGGCAGAAGTTAAGGTTACTGTGGGAGCTGTAAATCTGAATTGCCAAACTCTTTACATGCACAGACCCTCAACCTTGATGCAATATTTTGACAGGAATCTGCTTGCAGATCTGGAAGCAGGGATTTGTTGGAAGTGGGTTAATTCTCATGTATCAAGATGTTGATGTCTCCAGTTGATGAAAGCGTTTCAACATAAAACTTGGTCACCTGTGTTTCCTTCTCTTTGCCTATCACTGGAAGAAAACAGGGGAAATGACAGATCATTATGATGCCTTGCAAGATCTCTTGGGGTGCCCTGCAGCCTCTGCAAAGGAGGTGGGCTGAATTTTGGGTTTGTTGCTTACATGTTGCTAATGCAGAGTGTCCTGCATTGCAGACAGGTGCTGTGCTCTTCCTGCTTGTGACTGTAATTGTGAACATCAAGCTGATCTTGGACACCAGGAGAGCTGCTTATGAGGAGGAAGAGTCTGCACAGGACTATGGTGAGGGGCAGCATCTTGCTTTTCTTTGAAAGCAAGGAAACTCGAGGATGGGAAGTAATTTCTTCAAATCAGGGCAAACTTTTGACCAGCTACAGCTTAAAAGGCAGGCCTGCGCATGTAGTTTTAACAAAAATGAATAGAAAAGGTTGTTCCCATTCTGTCTACTCAAGGCTTCAGCACATTTGGCTGCGGACATCTGTGTGGGGATAGCTGGGGCCAGACCTGTTGCCATTTTGTATTTCCCTCAACTGTTGTCCCTGTGGATTCTGACCCATGGTTTACTGGGCTGGGATACCTGGTGGGCATGATCTTCTGGAGGCTTGGCTGGGCTAGCACCAAGCAGGGACAAGCTAGAGGTGCCTTGGCTTATTGAGACTGGGTATTTCTTCTCTGTAGATGATGAGATGCTGAATGTAGAGGTCCCAAGGCACCCTGTCAGCAACAAGAAGGTCTTGGATGTTGAGGTGTACTCCAGCAGGTCGAAGGTCTATGTGGCTGTGGATGGGACAACAGTAAGTGATAGGTGCTGGCTGGCTGGCTGAGCAGAGGGTGGATGTTGCTGCATGGGTGAAGCCTCAAGCAGCAGATGGTGGGAGCACTTTAGTGGTTGACAAGAAGGTCAGGAGTGCATGCCCCCCTACTGCCAATTGGACTCTGGAGGTGCTGCTCCATGTTGTCTTCTACTCTGGCATTCGTCACTGCCATGAGCAAAGACAAAAAGTCACAGCAGAGACTTGCTTCTTGTCTGGGAGCTCTGCTGTGGTGAAGGAGCAGGGAATAAGAGGTCTTGGCATATGGTTCTCATCACTTCTCCACTTGCAGGTCCTGGAAGATGAGGCTCGGGAACAGGGAAGAGGGATCCATGTGATTGTCTTGAATCAGGCTACGGTAAAGCATCCTTGTGTGTCTGCATTTGTCTTTCTTGCTGGGCAGTATTTGTCCTTGCTCTTTAACTGTTGGGTGCATGAGGCAAAGGGCAGCCGGGAGGGAAGCCTCCACATGCTTGTTTGTAGTTCCCAGAGCAGGACACAGTCACCTAGAGAATCCCTGCAGTGTTTCTCTTGTGCTTACCCAGCTGTCCTGGAGGAGCAGGCAGGAGAGGAGTTGTGAGGTTGTGTAGTGCTGTCCTATGGACCTCATTGGACTTCATGTCCTGTGTCAAGGCCCAAGGGCTGAGCTTGCCTGGGGACTAAATTCTTGGCATACCAGAAAACTAACTCATTGTGTTCCTTAGGAACTGAGGCTTCCAGGACAGGTTTCCATAACATTGCGTGTGCTGCCCATATAGCATTTAAGATGCATCTGACATTTGAATACCAACAGGGTCATGTGATGGCCAAGAGGGTCTTTGACACCTATTCTCCCCATGAAGATGAAGCCATGGTACTTTTCCTCAACATGGTTGCCCGAGGCCGGATCTTGATCTTCACCATTAAGGTATGTGACCTTAGTGTCAGAAGAAAAAGTCATCTTAATACAGGGTGCCCTAAAGCTTATCTGGGCAGTTACCTCCTGAGTGTCATCAGGCATTCCCAGGGCTAAATGTCACATCCCCACTGGGCTGTGCCTCCCTGGCTGGATCACCTCCTGTGTCCTCTTGCTCCCCCTTGTTACTACAGGTACTGCTGTGTGCCCAGCAAGGCAGGAGAGCAAAAAGATGTTGTGTGAGATGTGTGAGAGCCTGCAGCAATAAACAAAGGTTAGGTGGAGAATGGATATGAGGAAATATAAGGATATCGTGGGACCTTTCTGGATCCCAATTCCGTGCTTTACTGGGTACACTGTGGGCTCTGGGCTCTAGACTGCTGTGTGAGCAGTACTGTGCTGCTTCAGGGTTTCAGGTTTAGCTGTGTGAAGTGTTACTGAACACATGGCTCCGCTTGAGAATGATCTGGTCTCAAGGAAACAGAAGTCTGCAACCATTCTGACCTCTCTGTGGGTCATGATGAAACCGCTGGCAGGTTTAGTGGCACAAAGACCTTAGCAACCTGCTCTTGAAGGTTTCTGGTTCAACGGGTTCAAGGGTAGGAGTGGGCTCTGTACCTCTTTAGTATTCATAGGAGACTTTCCTTGTCTGCATCAGGAGCCAGGCCTCAGCTGCAGGGTTGTGTTCTGTTCCAGGATGAGGGCTCCTTTCACCTCAAGGACACAGCCAAGAATGTCCTGAAAAGCCTGGGCAGCCAAGTTGCACCATTCCTGAGCTGGAGAGATATGTGGACATTTGTGGGGAAGAAGGGAGGTGAGTGCTGCACAGGCTGGGAGAGCGTACATGGCTCCTTATTGTGGGAGAAGCCAGGTGAAGACAAACCCAGCCCATGGCCAACATGCTGTATGAGCAGGGAACAAGTCATAGAGAGTGGCAACTCTGTTCCTGGGGGTGAGGGTGGGGAAGGAGACAGAGCAAGTCCCTTCAGCAGCTTGCCACAGGCCAATGGGAAAAGGTGCCAACCTGCCACACTGAGCTACAGCCCTTGTTCATGCCCTGACGCAGTGGGGATGGGCCCTTGCAGACAGTCCTGACCCTGTGTCCCTGCTCCAGGGGAAGTATATGGGGAGAAGCACGCCAAATCGCCCGCCCTCTCGACATGGGGTGACCCTGTACTGCTGAAGACAGAAGTTCATCTGACATCCGTGGAAGGTAGGAAGCAAGATCTGCTCCATGGTGCTAGTTATCTCTGGGAGATGCCTTTCTGCTGCTCTTGGTGGCTTTGAGTCAAAGCTGTGGGTCTGTTAGCAAGATCCCAGGATGGATGTAAGGATGTTTGAGATGGGGATGGTAATTTTTAAAATGAGGCCAGCTTCCCTTCTTCAGGCTTCCATGGCAATTCCAGGCTTGACTGTTGGTAGAGATGCAAGTGAGGAAGCAGGGACACTGTCTGGCCATTTGTCACCTCTCCAGACCAGGCCTGGTCCAGTCTTTTCTGACTGCTGGCCTTGAACATGGCCCATTGCTGCTCAGAGAGACTGTGTGATGGGGATGGCTTCTGAATGGCTCCTGAGGTTATAGCTGACATCCAGAAGTGTTGCTCATTCAGGCTTGGTGATAGCTGAGCTCAGGGAAAGCTATGCCTGTGGCGGTGCAGCCTGGAGCATACAAGGTGAGGTCATGGGGATGAGCAGTCTGTGTTTTCTCCTTGATGCTTCTAGATGCTGAGTGCCATTGGCCTGACACAGAGTTGAACCGCCGCAGGAAGAGGTTCTGCAGCAAAGTAGAAGGTTATGGCAGTGTCTGCAGCTGCAAAGACCCCACACCCATTGAGTTCAACCCTGATCCTGTGAGTGCAGGGGCAGAGTACTCAGGGAGGGAGGGGATGGAGCAGGTGTGTTTGCAGCTCAGTTGCAGAGCCTTATCCTTAAGTAACAGCTAAATGGTGCAAACTGCCCCTGGGCAAGCCCTTAGTCCTGGCAAAGGTAAGGTGAATACATGTGGTCAGGTCATGCTGGAGAAGGGGAGTTCCCTTCCCCTATGTCTGGCCTGAGCTGCCAGAGTACCATGGCTGTAGGGACATCAGTGTAGCCAGCAGAGCCTGTACATTTGGCAGTGAAGCAGTTATTATGGCCTTTGAACTGTCCTTGGCACAGTGATGAAGGGTTTGGACAAAGGCCTCCAGGTGAATACAAGCTGGGATTTGGGAGCTGGGTCTGAGCTGGGGTGAGGGAGGGAAGTTGGCAGGGTCTCCAGCAGTGCTGAGTGGAGTCCTGGTTGGTCAATGTGGTCCTGAGCCAAGGGGTAGGACTCTGCTGATCCCTACCCCGTGAATCCTGTTCTTGGTGGCATAGGATCGTTTAGGTTGGCCTGACCTCCCCCAGCCCCATTCATACATATTGTTCTCTTCCAGCTCAAAGACAATAAAGTCTTTGATGTGCCTGTAGCTGTTATTGCAGGGAACCGCCCCAACTACCTGTACAGGTAAGGACTTGCAGGGGACATAGCTGCTCTGCTCTGTGCCACCAGGCATGGCCCAGGCTCTCCCCTTTGTCCTGTTGGCAGGACCCAGCCTCCTCCCAGGGCTGCATGGGGAGATGTGCTTGAACAGCTCCCAGGGTTCTTTGCCATGGGAGAGGGAAGAGCCCTGGGGTAATAGGTCATGTTTCCTAATTGTGCACACTTCCCCCATCCCAAGGGATCTATAATCCTCTGCTGAATGGCCTGGGCCCACGGGGCTGTGTTGTGCTCAGGCCCCTTGGTCTCTCTGCAGGATGCTGCGCTCCTTGCTGTCGGCTCAAGGAGTCAATCCACAGATGATCACAGTCTTCATTGATGGGTACTACGAGGTGAGAGCACTCAGAGGTCCCTGTAGCCAGGTCCTTGATCCCACAGCTGGGAGTACGTGGTGCTGGCCCAGTCCTTGGTGGATGGCAGGATATGAGCCCCTTCACCCTTCCTTCTGCTGCTCCTCGCACACTCCTGCACAAAGTCAGCTTTGCCAAGCCATGGGTGTGGATAAAGCTGCCTTGTCCTTTCCCAAAGCCCAGGATTGACATCCCCATGTCAGAAAGGGGCTGGTTTACAGGAATGAGGTAGTCATGCTGGGCTCTCCCCATCTCCTTTTCTCACTTGATGAGTATCACCAACCCTTTGAGCAGGGTCTGGGTGTACCACTTCGTGTCCAGCTCCCTCATGTGGAGTGGAGGAAACCAGTACAGTCATGCCTGTCCAGCTCCAGTCAGTGAGAGGTGAGGAGACCCAAAACAGTCTGTTTTCACAAAGGTCATGAAAGCTGAAGACAGGTAAAGGAGAGCTGGCCCTTTAGAGGGAAATGACCTTCCTGTCAGCTCAACCTTATAAAGCCCTGGAGGATCCCACTGCCGTCTCCGGCGCTCTAGCAATGGGGTGTGCTCTGAGACAGGCACATGGGATCCTAGTAGGTCTCAGGAGTTTGCTAGCCCTCATCTCTTCAGCAGCCCATGAGGTATTGTCTGGTTGCCTTGTGATGGAGATGGGGAAGGGAACAGGCTTGTTCCCTTGCAGGCCTCTCCCACCACTGCCAGGTTGTGGGGCTGGGGGAGCTGTTTTGTTTATGCAGGCTCTTGCTGCAGCACATCAGAGTGGTTAAAGATAGCAGCATCCATTGCCATGGCAACTGGAGCAGCATCCCTCAGCTATGAGGGGGCAGCCATGCTGCCATGGTGGATACCAGGGAAAGGTTGGTGCAATGTGAGCTCCTTCTCTTGTGGCTAGGAGGTGGAAGGGACAATAAGGGGATGGAGAAGGCCTTGATGTGGCCTTCTTGGGGTGGAGATCTCAGCTCAAATGTGATTACTTCTAACCCCAGTGCGGGTATGTTTGGTCAGATTGGTCTCTTTCTTGGCAACTGCGAGAGAAAATGAAGCTGATTGTGGTCTTGACATTAAGCCATAGTATGTGTACCTGCCTATACCTGTTTTCTTTCTATACTGTCAATGGGGGAATTTTGGGGCCTCCAATATGCTTGGATACACTTTGGGTCTGCAGACTATCAGGGCTAACAGAAGCTTGTGGCAATACTTGAGGGCTGAAGGGCCAAGAGACTTTGGTGAGTTCTTTGTTGTGGGGTCAAGAGCAACAGCATCATTTCAAGCCTCACTTGTCCCCAGGAGGACAGTCACATGCAAGGGATCCCACAGGCGTATTCTTGTTGTCCCAGAGACAGGGGTAGAGGGTGGGGAGAATGTATCCAGACCCACATATTTGATGACCTTTGTACCTTCACACTGCAGGAGCCGATGGATGTTGTGGAGCTGTTTGGCCTCTCAGGAATCCAGCATACTCCCATCAGCATTAAAAATGCCAGAGTTTCTCAGGTGAGAGACCTTTCCCAAACCCTGTAAGAGTTATTTCCTGGGACCTGGGATAGCATTTGAGGGAGGCAGGTTTAGCCCTGCATCGGTGCCAGGTTGATGGTAACCCAGGCAACAATCTGTCTTTTCTTGTAGCACTACAAAGCCAGTCTGACTGCAACCTTCAACCTGTTCCCGGTGAGTGAGACCTCTGCCCTGTCTAGCTGCTCTGTCCTGTTCCTCTCCATCCTTCTCATGTTCTCCTTGCCCTACAGGATGCTAAATTTGCTGTGGTTCTGGAGGAAGACCTTGACATTTCTGTTGACTTCTTCAGGTAAAGCTGTGGGTCCCTGTTTGGGTAGGGCATTTCCTAGAAGCTCTCTGGCTGCTCAGGAGAGGCCAGGTTCCTGCCATGCTGTTTGACCAGGGACTGGGTAACTCTTTCCTCAGCTTTCTGAGCCAGTCCATACACCTTCTGGAGGAGGACGAGAGCCTGTACTGCATCTCAGCTTGGAACGACCAGGTAGGTCAGGGAAGGATGGTGGAGCAGGGACACCTCTGCCTTGTGTTGTTCCCATGTCAGGCTGGGGTCCAAGCTCCAATTTAAACCAGGGTGTCCCCCACTATCATCCTAAATGGATCTGTCTCCCCAGCCCTGGACTGTTTAGAAGTACTCCTGCAAATCACTATCTTGTCCCAGCCTTGCCAGTGGCTATTCCCTGCTCCCTGTGCTGAGACCCTCAATGGAACAAGATGCCTTCTTTTTTGGTGGGGTAGGGGTGCATTCAGGGTGCTGAATGCTCCCCATAACATCACAGGGCTACGAGCACACAGCTGAGGACCCTTCGCTCTTGTACCGTGTGGAGACCATGCCAGGCCTAGGCTGGGTGCTCCGGAAGAGCCTGTACAAGGATGAGCTGGAGCCAAAGTGGCCAACCCCTGAGAAAGTGAGTACCTTAGAGGGATTCTCTCTTATACAGCCCCATCTCTGCCCACCAGCAGTCTCTGATCATCATCCAGATCCTGTGGGTACAGCTCTTGAAAGGCCCTGGGTTTTCCCTCAGCTTCTACTGGGAAGGATGCCCAAGCAGAATGGATTCGGGGGAGAGAGCAACTTGACCACATAACCAGACACAGAGCTGGCTGGAACAGCCCGGGCAGGCTGGGGCCAAAGGGGCTAGAGCTGGTGTGGACAGCTATAAAGGTCCCTGGATGGCCACACTGCCCAGTTATGTCCCCAGGCTTGAGTGTGAGTGGCAGTTTTTCCTCCCCAGCTCTGGGACTGGGACATGTGGATGCGGATGCCTGAGCAGCGGAAGGGCCGGGAGTGCATCATCCCTGACATCTCCCGCTCCTACCACTTTGGCATCGTGGGGCTCAACATGAACGGCTACTTCCATGTGAGCGACCTCCCTCTGCCCCCAAGCCTTATCCTGCTGCTGAGCTCTGACTTGGCCACCTTTCCAGGTAGCAGGGATGCTTGAGGTGACCTCCTGAACGAACCCGGTTTTCCTTCCTTCCCTCCCCTTTCTCTTCCTCCCAGGAAGCCTATTTCAAGAAACACAAGTTCAACACAGTTCCAAATGTCCAGCTTAAAAATGTGGAGAGGTGAGTGCTGGTCAGAATGAAATCTCGAAACAGTTGCTTGACCTGACCCTTGTCCCCTTGTGCTGGGGATATGTCCCTTCCTTCTGGAACAACAGCCATTACCTCCAGCCCCAGCACACTGACTTCCACTGGGGAATCTTTGCAGTGGTTTTTGTGAGCTTGGATGCAGCTGTGATGTGTACCTGATGGACATGGTAAAGGGTCATGGGTTTTGCTGCCGCATCCTCCAGGATGTATGGCAGTCCCTGCTCTCAGTTTATTGGTCTAACCTGCCTTTTAATGTTACACTGGGTCAGTCTTAAATTTGGATCATCTTGCGATGTTCCCTGCTTATCGAACTGTCTGACTCTGCCCTTATCTTTGTGTTCTCTCCTCCTTCAACAGCTTGAGGAAGGATGCCTACGAGACTGAAATTCATCGGCTCCTGGGGTAAGTGCCTGAAGGAAGGTTGGAAGACACTGGCTGAACCTACAAGGACAGAAGAAAGGGGGGAGGTGGCACTGGCAGCCCCAGCTGCTGCTTGCCTGTCTGAAGTACTCTGCAGTGGGGATAGGGAGGAGGTGGGATACCTTCTCACTCCTTGTTGTTTCTGCAGTGAGGCTGAGGTCTTGGACCACAGCAAGAACCCCTGCGAGGACTCCTTTGTGCCCGACACTGAGGGCAGGGTCTATGTCATGTTCATTAAGATGGAGCAGGAAGCAGATTTTACCACCTGGACTCAGCTTGCCAAGGTGAGCCACTTGACGTGGTCTGTCTTCACCCCTTGGCATCACTGGGAAACATCTGGCTGTTGTTTTGGGGTTTGCCCATGAAATGGATGCAGTTCAGCAAATGGATTCTTGCTGTCAGTGGGTGATGCTGAAGCTCTTGGTGCTTACAGAAGGCACTGGGTCATCCAGGGCAGATGCTTGGCTCAGTGGAGAAGATAAGTCATATGACCTCCCTGTGTGGGATACCAGCTTGTCTAGTAGTTCCCATCACTTGCTTGGACGTGACAATCAAGCCTCATGTCCTGAGGCAGGGATGGGAGCAGGTTCCTCCTTTCCTGTCACTGATGGTGGCTGAAGGAGTGCCACCTTGTGCCACCACAATCAAGGGGTTCAGCCCTCTCTGCTGTGTCTCAGTGAGGGCAGGGGTGGTGGCTCTTCCCTTGCTAGGGGACACCTGGCCCTGGTGCCTGATGCCTCTTCTTCCCTCCCCACCACCCCAGTGCCTCCACATCTGGGACCTGGATGTCCGTGGGAACCACAAGGGGCTGTGGCGGCTCTTCCGCAAGAAGAACCACTTCCTCGTGGTGGGAGTCCCTGCCTCCCCCTACTCGTGAGTATCAGGGCATGGCACCCTAGGTAATGTCCCCCTCCTCATGGCACTGTCCCCTGGCCAGTGCACTGCATCATCCACTTCTGTCTCAGCCCAGTCCTGGGCTGTACCACCCCGCTTCTTAACCATTGTGGTGGGAGGGGGCCCGGATGCATGCCCAGGGCTTGTATCAGGATGCTGCAGTGGGAAGATCATGCCAGGAAGCAGTGCTGTTGGGAGCTGGGATCCTGAGGGGCATCAGCACCCCTGCCTGCTCCCATCCAGCCTCCTCACCTGCAGGTCCAAGAAGCCCTCATCGGTGACACCAATCTACATGGAGCCCCCTGCCAAGGAGGAGGGGGCAGTGGCAGTGCCAGCAGTTGCTGCAGCAGAGCAGACATGAGGCTGGCCGCGGGGAAGCGAAGGGGACCAGGGGAAGCCAGAGACCCCCATAGTGCAGAGACAGAGTCGGAGGCAGCTCACGGAGGCTGGTGACTGGACACACACTCCCGTTTCAGGCTGCAAAATGAGATCTTGGGTTCCCTCCAGCCCCCTGTTGTGGTCTCCCCCCTCTCCCTCGCAGGGGATGGAGATTCCTCCCTGTAGATATGCTACCCCCCATCCCAGGAACTTTGTTTTTTTAACACAGACTACTAACGTTGCTCCATTTGCCCCCTGGCTGGGCAAGGCTGGAGGAAGGAGATGCTCAATTGCAGACTAGAGGGGGCCTCAAGAAATGCCTCAGCTTCCCCTTTTGGTCCCCAAGTCCTGAGAAGGCAGCATGCTCATGTGCAAGTGCTGCAGCGTACCAGCTAGGTGTTATTTATTAACTCTTACCTGGCTGGTTCTGTGCCCAGAGGTGAAGAGAAGATCTTCCAGCATCTCTTCTGTCTCCTGCACGATGGATGCATCTTGAAGACTGTATGCTGGGTTAGGCATCTCCCTGCACACTGACTTTGCTTCTTGGGCTGCAGCAGCTGGTGCAGCCCAGCTCACAGGCAAAAGGGAAATGCTAAAGAGGAGATGAATTTACTGTGGAAATGAAAGGGACAGCCCATGCCCAGCGTGAGGAGCTGTCGGGTGCCCCTTTCCTTGCTCTGCAGTTCTGGGAGCTGGAGATGGCTGGAGATGGAAGTGGACCAGGCTCTGTGCTCTGGCACAGACTGTCCTCACCCACCTTCTCTGTGGGGAGCAGCCCTGTCCCCCGAGTTGTGGGAGAGGGGGTGAAAGTGCCTTGCGGAGTGAGATATGAGCAGACACAGGCACCCTTCCAGGGGCAGGATGGATTGGGGTGCTGTGGAGGGAGAGATGCTCCTTGATGGTCCTTGCCTGTGGTACTGTACCCTGTCTCTCCCTTTTCCTGGCCAGGTACCCCCATCTTTTGCTGAAGGCAGAGGGGGTTTCTTCTGAATCCCCACTCTTACCTTGGTACGTTGAGGCGAGCCAGAATGGGCAGGCTGGCTCTGTTGCTGTGGTACACCCCTCATGCAGAGGGAGGGGGCCCCTGTTCCCCCTCCTGTGCCTTAGGAAGGACCCAGAGCCCCCTCCCATCCCCAGCCACTCGGTACTAATGTGTCCCCCTACTAGGGACAGCCCTGCTCCTCTTGCTCAGTACACCTCTGCATCTCATCCATGCAGCAAAAGATCTCTGCCCAGGTCCCCCAGCCTTGGGCAGGGATGCTACGCTCTGACTTGCCCCTGGGAGGAGGATTTGCTGCTCAGCCCTTTCCCTGTGGTCGCGGGGGCTCTTCCCCTTTGTTTTCTCACTGTGAACTGAGCATTGGGGTCTACACTACACTAACTTATTTATTTATTGCTTGTGGGAAGGGGAGGATAGCAGGAAAGCAGCATGGAGAGCTGGCAGACCTCAGCGTGTGCAGGGGCAGTCGTGGGAGGTTTGTCTCTTGTCCCTCAGCTCCATCCCCTGTTCCCTTCCTTCCTCTCTTGCCCAGCATAGGAATGAATAGTTGTGAACTCAAGAAATCTGCTTGTCTGTGGCCAAAATGAGGCCTGTGTGGACACAGCACAGGTCAAGTGTGACCCAGCAGCAGGGACGGATGCAGGAGGGGAACAGGAGGGTGCAGGGTGGCACCTTGAGGCTGCGGTGCTGGGTTCAACGCTGTCCTCTGCCACCACCAGCACTGCCCTTCGCTGGGGCTCTGCTTTGGCAGCACGGGTGGAGCAGGTCATTTCAGCACAACGGGAAAAGGACTGGGCTTTCTTCCCAGGGAAAGCAGCTTGCTTCCCCATACCCTGCTTTGGGAAGACTTCTACAGCTCTCCAGCATGGTGCCCTTTCCTCGGCATCTCTGTTCCCAAGGCCCAGTTTCCCTTCTCCCTGAAACTAGGTGCACTCCCTTTCCCTTCTTTGGCAGGGCTCAGGCTTGGCTTCCTCCTAGCTCCTCCTGGAGCTGGGAAAGGTGGTCCTATGGATAGGGAATGGCTAAAGCCAGGTTCCCCTGCAGCAACCAGGGGCTGGGGCTCCCTGCTCTCAGCAACAGCAGGACTTGACTGGTGGGCTTCAAGCTCCCCCTTCTCTGCACACCATGTTGGGCCCACTGGTGCTGTTCTCCATCCTTCCCCATTCCCCCAGCAAGGCTCTGGTGTGGTGGCTGTGGTAGGACTGGGAGCGTGGGCATCCCAGGGCTTGCTGCTTTCTGAACTGAATTATTTTTTCAGGATTAAACATCGCAAAGCTGTTGAGCCTCGTGTGTTTCATAGCTTCCCTCTGCATGGCCCAGGGATGGGGTCCCTGTCCTCTGGTGTCACCTGGGCTCCTGGTGGCCCAGGGCTGTGCCAGCAGAGGTCCTCCAAGAGATGCTGTGCTGGATCAGAGCAGTTGGCTGGAACAGGTTTGTGAGCTGTTTCCTCCTCGAGCTTTATCACTTTGATCTTCAACAACCAACAGAAACTCGGACCAACTGCCCGAGGACCTGCTTGGCATAACCAGCCCCTGTGCTACCTCTGGCATCAGCTGCTGTCCCCTGAGAAATACAGAGCTGCGGCCCTTGGATCCAGGTTTGGCATCCCCTTGGGGGCCAGCAGGGTGAAGTGGCTGCCTGTCCTGAGGTGGAGGGCAGTGAGCAGCCAGCCCTGGCACTTGTACCCCACCACCCAGGAGTCTGAGCCCCACAGGGCTGAGCTGCATTTCTAGCCTCTCGAGTGCATTTGGGTTTTTCTTTAGCGGGAAATGGTGTCTTTCAGTAAGGACCCCCTGCCCTAGGGCACAGCAGAAGGAAGGGATGTCATAGCTGGAGGGGACAGGGCCCTCCTGAGCTGAGACCTGACAGTTCAGGTTGTGCCACACCAGGGCCACCTTCCTGCCCTGCTCCTGAGCTGTTCAACCCTACCACTTGTGGCCAGGGATGGAAAAGGCTGCAGGAGGGACCTCCACCAAAACCACCTGTGCAGGGCAGCAGCTTTGCTCCTCCCCACGGGATGGGTGTGAGCAGGGGTGAAGCCAAGCAAGGCACAGGCTCGGTCCTGCCATGAGAACAAACAGCCTCAGAGCCTCTGGGTCAGCCCTGTGTGGGGTGACTTGCAGGCAGCCCAGGCGATCACCCCAAACTTCTGCCCCTGTGGGGCAGGGACCCCTGGGAGGGCTGGGGGTGCACCTGCTTCTGGGGCAGAGACCACAGGACCCAAATGAAACCACAATGGGAGAGCGTCAGATACCAGCATGAACTGGCCGCAACCTGCATCCTGTACCGGCTGCCTCCTGTGCCCTGCAGCCAGGCCGGGCTTCTTCCTTAGCTGCCAACACCTCCCCAGGACCAGGCACAGCTTTCAGGGAGGAATATCCCCTTGCCAGAGGGTTTCTGCCCAGCCCCAGGGGCTTTGTTGGCAGTGCCTAGTGGGTATCACTTCCTGCAGCATCCGCATCCATGTCCTGCTGAGGCAAAACCCTGCGGCACTGAGCCCCTGTCAGGGCTCTGTGACTGATCCCTATGGGGGATGTGGGCTGAGGTTTGAGACCCACCACTTCATGTCCACCTCAAGGAGCCAGTATTTACAGTATTTTCCTCCTGAAACAGAGAGATTGATGCTAACAGCAGGTTAACACCCTTGAAGGGGAGTGCCTGTGCCAGGCTGATGGAGAACTTAAGGGTGTTCACCTCTGGGTGATGATGATGCAAAGATTCATTGCCTGAAGGGACTTAGTCCTGGTGAGCTTGTCATAGAAGCCAGCTCACTCCACATCCTGCCCTTTCTCAGGGTCCTACGCACTTCCCAGCTCAACCCACTGGTGCTGGAGCATTCCCTGGTGGCCAGGAGCTGGCTGGACAACTACCCCATCGCCTGCCCTCCCTGGGAAGCCCAACCTGCTGCCTCCCATGGTGTCGTGGTTTAAGCTTGGCCCCATGTGGCACCAGCTTGAGCACACGCTGCCCAAGTTGTGGTTCCCAGGTCTCCCTGGCCCCCTGCAGCCCGGCCTCCTGGCTTTGTGCAGCCATACAAAAGGGAACCTGTCCGGGCTGCTCCGCGTCCCAGGAGCTGGCTGATAATTAAACAAAGGCAAAATAGCCTTGGCATGAAACTTGACCTTTCCAGAGCTCGGAGGAGGAGGGGAGTTTTGCATAAATTCTGGCCGTGGTTATTTTTATGCATTATGCCTTTTCAGTGGGGATCTCTGTGCCGGAGGGGCAGGGAGTGCCTGTGCTCCAGTGATGGGCTGTGATGTGGGAAACAAGGTCCATGCTGGCTCTTCCCGTGGCACATCCCTCCCCCCATGCCCCACAGATGGAGGGAAGTACCCTCCAGCCACTGTCCTCCAGGATAACAGCCACAGTCCTGTGGGATGGAGGGATCTCAGTGCCTAGGGCATGCTGACCCCATCCCCATCATTGGGAGGGAGGGAGGCAGTGATGCTGTGCCCAGGCCACCTCCATCCGGCTCAGGGTGCTGATCCCCAGCTTTCATCACCTTCTGCATTATAAAGAGCCCTGTAACACCAAGGTGCCCAAGGAACTCTATCTGGCTTCTCTCCTTGATCCTGGCTGTGCCCAGCCCATCCCTGTCCCCATCCCCTGCTGCCACCTCCCGTGCCCATGCCCAACAAGGCCAGTGGCAAATTAATCTTCAACTGGATCCCCAGAATTGTTCCTGTGATGGTTATTACGATGGTGTATAACGTGGTGCTACGTTAATGATTAACACCTCACACTCAATGTCAGCTCCTGCCTGCTGCGTTTGAATAGCCCTTCAAACACCTCCTCTGATATCTCAACAAATAACCAGGACACGGAGCTGCCTAGAAAGCATCCTTGGGGCTGGGTGGGCACCCAGCATGGTTTATCTATGGGGCAAGGAGGAGGAGAAGGGAAGCCAGGGAGGAAGGCTGTGATGGGGAAAGGGTGCAGTGCCTCCCTTCTTCCCCTGGGCCAGCGTGTGCCTTTTGAGGACGTCCTCTCCTGCTGGATCCTGGAACGTCATGGCCAGGCTGTTACGGTGGGTGGGGAAAATCTCGCGCAATGGGCACTCCTTGGGCAGCTGATGATGGATGAGTTGGCTTTTGCTTCCCATTCACTTCCTTTATCAGCACAAACCCAAAGAGCTGTGATCCCTCTTCCCTCTCATGATAAACCTGTCCCCCCACCAGCACCAGTTCTCAGGTGGGAGAGGACAGCTTGTGTCCTAAATCACTTCCTGGCAGGCAGGGGTTTGCCCATTGTGCCCCAGAACAGGCAATGCTGGTGGCAAATACACCCAGTAAATCTCCTGGGACTCTGGCTGGTGCATGGCACCTATCGCGGCAGAGCAATGGGTGCACAGGCACACCAAGGGGCTGCTGGGGGGAGAAAGGCAGCTCTTCATGTATCTGCCTTCCCTGTAGAGCTCCAGCTCCTCATTTTCCCCACCAGTGCCCATGGGGATGCTGCCCTGCAGGAGGCTGACGGGGGATCCGGATCCACCCAGCCTCCAGCACACATACCAGCCCCTTCCTTATTGCCTCCAAAGGAGCAGCTTGCCCTTAAGCCATCCTGCTCCCAAAGCAGGTGGAAATTCCCCATATGGGCTCTGAAAGTGGCTGTTTCCAGCAGAGAGATGTTCCAAGGCTGATGCAGGGTGGGGAATATGGTGACATTGGGCTGGTCCCCCTCACATGGGAACTTGTGGGGCTGCAGCAGATGGGATAAGGCTGGAGATGTGACACTGTTCCAGTGGCTCCGGGGGTCTGCATGCACCCATTTCCCTATACAAAGCAAATCCCAGATCGCAGGGACCAAGCGCTGTCCATTTGCTGAGCCAACCCTGTGAGTGACCCCGGCTCTGCTGCCAGCAACCCCACACACAACCAGGTCTCCCCACACCATCCTCATCATTTCCTCAGCCAGGATAGGGGCAAACTCAACCCAGGAGAAGGGCTCAGCCACCCCTGGGCTCAGACACACTTCCCTTCCCTTCCCTCAGCCACCTTCACTCCCACCAGCTCTCCCCATCCCAGAAGGTTTCTGGCCAGGCTGGTTGTCACCCTCACAGGGGGCTATTGCCCATGGTGGAATGGGGCAAGGCACAACCCATGGACTGGGGTGCACAAAGGGGTGCATGGAAGGAGACAGCAGTGTCTGTGGCAGGCAGCAGGGTGCTGCTTGCTTGCCTGCAGTCCCTGCCACAAGAGACTTTACCCTCCTGCTGTCCCTCCACCCTGTGTTATGGCTGGAAAAGAGCCACCCTCATCCCAGCACACACACTCTGCCATGCTGGGCACGTCAAGCCCAAGAACACCCTCCTGGGGGGCAATAAGGAAGTTTGCATTTGCTACCATGTGCCCCTGGGAACTTTTTGGCCTCATTCTCCAATAGCACAATGATCAGCTTTTTGGGGTGCCAATCCGGGGGCATCGGGCAATCTAAGGGTTACAAGGTGCCGAGATGCCTGGTGGCATCCATTTGGAGTAGCGGGCTGGGTGCATCCTGGGGCTGGTGAGGGACCAGCTGGGATGGGGTCTCCTCTGTGGATTCCAACAGCTCTGGAGGTGCTTGAGCAGTGGGAAGCAGAGGGAAGGGGCACAGTGGGTGCACAGGGGAGGCTGCACCAGACAGGCTTACCCCCCATTGCCCCACTGCTGCCCTTTCGGCTGCCAGGGGAGCTGAGAGCCGGGAAGGGTGATGGGGAGGAATTGCATCCGGGAGGAGAAACTGGTCCTTCAGGTTTCCCTAGCAGGCAGAGGGGAGGAACCAAGCTTGTGGTTGCAGCTATTGCCAAAAGTCAGTGCCACAGAAACGGCCTGCCCTGAGCGGGGAAACCCCAAAACCCGGAAGAGGGGTGACGCCGGGGGAGCCTCTGACCAGCCAGGAATCACCCCGAGCCCACTGCACTCTGCTGGGGTGATGGCACAGGGTGTTTGCCAGGACCCCGCTTTGCAAGGCAGCCCCAAAAAGAAGGAGCAGAGAGGGATGAGGCCAGGCCTGAGGTGCCCAGCAGTGCGTGGGTCAGTGGCAGCCAGCTCCTGGCCACCAAGACCAGGAAGGGCTTTGGGCAGCACCAGGCTCCTGTGTACTCAGAGAGGGAAAAGAGGAATAAAACTCTTGATGTCACCCATGACGTCACTGTTTATAGTCAAAACCAGGTTCTTCATGTGTTGAGTGAGGAGGAGGAGGAAGAGAAGGCTGTTTTATGGCAGCTTCCTCACACACCTCGCCATGGGGCAGGGCCAGAAACCATGTCCCCGGGGCTGAGTCACCCGGGTGGGGAGCAGATGCCCACGCCTGTCCCGCTGCCACCCCGCTGCCCCTGACACCGTGCTGGGTGCTGGATGGTGCCACCAAGATGCTGGACCCTGAGAGGCCACAGCCGTGCCCCGGTGCAGCCCCGTACCCAGTGCAGGAGCTGATAAGGGGGTGGTGGAGCAAGGCAGTGCATGAGGACAATGTTTGCACACTGGGCTCCTGCCCCACTGCCTATCGCCCCGTCCTTCACCGCCACCGCCCCGCAGCGCTCTGCCCCACGGCCATGGAGCTGGGGAGCCCCTGGCAGAAAGGAGGTGAAGCAGAACAGCCACCCCCAAACCACCTGCCTCAGCCTCATGTTTGAAATGGGCAAGACCCTGGAGAGGGAATCTTCATCAGGGACTGTAGCAATAGGACAAGGGGTAATGGGTTTAATCGTAAATAGGAGGGTCCAGGTTAGATATAAGGAAGAAGTTCTTTACAGTGCGGGTGGTGAGGCACTGGAATGGGTTGCCCAAGGAAGTTGTGAATGCTCCAACCCTGGAGGTGTTCAAGGCCAGGCTGGACCGAGCCTTGGGCAACATAGTTTAGTGTGTGATGTCCCTGCTCATGGCATGATCTTAAGGTCCTTCCCAACCAAACCATTCTCTGATTCTATGGAATGGGGAAACTGAGGCACAACAAGGGCATGCTCAAGGTGGGGTGGTGCCAAAGGCAACGGGTGAGCAATGCTGGGGAAGAGGGTGGCTGGAAACCCACCCATCACCCCTCATAGAGGGACTGTGGGTGCATCACAGTGGGATGATGTTGGATGATGGAGATGCTAAGAGATGGAGATGCAGGGGTACCACCCCGTTTGGTGTTCCTGGGGCTGATGAGGACAACCAGACCAACCCCCGCCCAGGAACCAACCCTGCCTTTCAAGCCGGGCTGTTGCTCAGTCTCCAAACCCGCGTTGCTGAGCAAGCAGTGGCTGTTGAGGAGGGCAGAGCTGGTTTGCAAGGCTAATGGTAGCCCCCGCTGCTCCCTGGCTGTTGTGCAAACACGAGGCTGCTGGTTTCCAAGCACCGGAGCAGGTGAGGAGGCTGCGGGCAGCGCTGTGCTGCCTGCATGGAGCTCTTGGGGTTGGGGAAGGCAAAGCAGCCCCTCACCCTGCGGTGCTCCCCAGGCACAGGCTGTTTATTGAAGCAGCACCAAGATTGGCTCCAGAACTGTATCCAAGATGAAAAGTTTATTTGTTTTTCTTTACAGCATAGAGAGGGCTCAGCCATGATGTGACAGGGGGTATGGGGCAGTCCCGGCCTCCACAGGGACGGGGATTGACAGGGCTGTCTTCATGCTGGGGCCCAGCCAGTGCCCCTTTTAGGCGACAATGTGATCAGGGCTGGCAGAAAACGTGTGTAGAGGTAGATACATCCCCATATGAAGTGCAGTTACCACCTACAATGATTCTATGATTCAATGGAGCGATGAGGGGGGCATGGAGCAGCCCCGGGGCCAGCCCCCACTTAGGGACACAGTGGGGACAGCGTGGGAAAGGCACAGCACCCACCTGCAAAGGTTTATCAAGGCATCGCTGCACCACCGCCAGATCAGCAGCCCTGATCAGCCCCTGCGCTGCTTTATCTCCCTCAGGCATCAGCTAAACAGACCGAGCAGCTTCCCCCTCTTCAAAAACCACCCCAAACCGCTATGTACAGACTCAGTGTGCCATATCAGTACAAAAATATACACAAACTCTACAGATCCCAGCTCAGTAGATCAATACACAGCTACAAAATCACAGTGCACAGGACAGCATCAGGCCCAGGGAGTGGTGGGGTCCCCCGGAGAGCACGGCACGCCACGGGAGCACCCCGGCATGGTGGGGGGCAGATCGTTTCCTGCCTCGTGGGGTCATTTCTGGTCCAGGTGGCAGTACAGGTACATGGAAACCACCATGGCTGCAATCTGGGGTGGCGAGAAGAAAGTCAGCACCCCTATGTGTGTGTTGTCTCATCCCTCCACCCAGCATGGGTTTGGGTCACAGCCTGTAGCATCCATCCCCAGCGCGCTCAAGGAGGAAGAGTTGGGTGTACCCATGGAAGAAGGCTCAGTAGCCACCCTGGGGCAGATGATGGTCCATGGGGCTGCACCAGCCCCCTGCAGCTGCTCATCACCCAGGCTGGTCCCAGCCCCACCGCTCACTCGCAGATACAAGGAGGAGGCAGCACAATGATGCTCTGGCACTCACCTCCAAGGCAGCGATGCCAGCTGCCACGCCACCCACCACACCTGCATGGGTCCTGATTTCTGTCAAGATCTGGTCGAAACAACCCTGCAGGAGGCAAACACACAGGAAAGGGTGAGCAAGAGGGGGTGATCCCCCAACTGCTGGGGCACAGCAGCCCCAGAAAGGGAGGTACAGTTCTCCATACAGACATGGAGATGGTCTTGGAGCTTCAGGGGGCAACTCAGACACTTCTCAGGCCAAATCACAGTATTGCGGGCAGAAAGGAGGGGAAGACTCAGGGAAATCACATAAAAAAACTAGAGTGGTGCCTGAATTCATGCTCAGTTTCAGGCATGCCACCCTGCCACAGACCTCCCCTTAGGACCAGAGCAATGGCAGCATCTTTGCTTGTCTCCACCACGCATCCCCCAGGACTTAAGGCCCATGGGACCTCCATGTCCCAGGCTGGAGTTGGAGCTATGGGACAGGTGTCCTGCCCCATGCCAAAGCACACCCCAAACCAGGCTCTGCCAGAAGAGAAGAGCTGCTGGTGCATCCGTACCGTGACTTTGCTTTCTGCGGCAGCCGCGTAGGTGCAGGGCTGTGTGTTATTGCAGCAGGGCTCCGGGTAGGTTCCATGGTTCTTATACCAGACAGAGTCGTTGAAGTCTGTGTAGTTATTCAGGCCACAGCAATGGACCTAAGAGGGAGAGACAGGAAAGGATGGGGAGAGCATCCTGAAGGTCTCCCTCCTGGTGTCCAGGTCTGGACACGGCTGCCCCATGGAGGAGGTTACCCAGCTCAACCCTGGCCTTCTTGGGACCAGGATTTTGCCCACACTCCATCATGTACAGCTCTCCCCACAGCCACGGGTCCACTGGATCCCAAGTGGGCAGGTCCCAGGCAAAGGACCCAGGCAGCAGGCCCCAGAGAAGATGATGGGGAGTTGACAGTTCAGCACATCCAGGATCATGTTGGTGTCCCCATTCCCATCCCAGAATGGGAACTGCCCATCCCAAACCCCAGGTTTGCACCACTGAGCCATGCAGGGAGCATCCTGACCCAGAAACGGGGGCCCCAGGGCTCAGCGCACCTCCGTCATGGTGACATTCCAAATATGTGTGAAGCTGTTATCCACCCCGTACTTATCCTTCAGGAGAGGGGTCACCACAGCCGTCAGCAGCGACCCTGCCTGGAAGAAGAGGCAGAGAAACACCATCAGAGAAGGTTCTGGGGAGCATCACAGAGCTAAGATCCCCCATACTGGTCTCAGCCTACTGTGAGGAGACCAATCAGGCCCAGCATGGCCAGGAGCACGTCACACCACATCCCTTCAGCCTGAGGACTGCTTGGCTCCTTCTCCACTAACCAGTACTTTATGGCACCAAGGCCACTTATGACCAGTGAGTCATCTGATAAGCAGCACAACTGAGGGAGCCAGGAATGATGTTTGCTCTGCGGTTGACTTCTCCAGTGCCCAATGGAGCAGTCACCTTTCTCCCCAGCTGGTTTCTCAAGTACCTAATAAGGGGGTGAGTTTGAGCATGAAGCATTAGGGACTTCCTCTCCGAAGTGGCTCCTACCATCAGAGGTGGAGAGGTGTCAAGGCTGGTACTAGCTTAAGGCATTTGAAAGAAAGAAGAGAGCAAGACTCAGGCCATAATCCTCAGTTCCTTAGGGCAGTGGGAACCCCTGTTCCCACCACCTTCACCCCAGCCAGGCTGTCCCACCTTGCACACATAGCTGGTGCCAACAGGGTCCAGCATCCCTTCCTGCATCAGCAGTGCCCACCTCTCAACTTCCCCAACCGTGGGCAGCACCACCAGCTGCAGTGCTTCCTGTTTTCCCAAGGGGTAGGAATGGGTCCCAGATCAGCCCAATCCAATCCTCAGGTATGCTACTCACAACACTTGTGTAGACCAGAGCCACTACGGCAGCAGCAACTTCAGCAATGAAGATGATCAGCACCACCGCAAAGAACTAGAATACAGCAAGGGGAAGGAGGTCAGAGCAACAGCCGGAGACCACTGTCCCCCCAGGCTTCCCAAGGGCCACAGGACACTACCTCAGGGCTCAAGCCCTGTCTCATTGCCTTCAGCTATGCCCCAGGGCAGGAGCAGCACAACCTTGGGATACTCCAGCCCTCTGCATGGGGCTGATCTTTCTGGACATGCTCCGAAAGAGACCTCTGCTCAGCACCAGCTTCTGCTTCCTTTCACCCTTACCCAGGGCAGACTTTAGGTCCAGCACTGCCTTTCCAAGGGCCACCCAGCCTTCTGCCACATGGGAACATCCAAGGAGCACATGTCCATGGAAAAATGTGTCCCTCAGATCTCCCCCACCAGAGGCCAAGCTCAAATGAGACTTGATAAGGAGGCAAGTCAGGTCCATACCATTATCAGGAGGCATTTGCTCTCCTTCTGTGCGCCATAGCACCCGAGGAAGCCGATCACCAGCAGGATGGCACCGATGGCAATGAGGAAGTAGCTCACATTCACAACCTGCAGGATGCTGGAGGAGATTGCCCCAAATATATCCAGGAACGACTGTCCATCCACTGTGACCCAGATGCCAACTCCCAGGAGGGTCCCACCACTGAGCTGGGAGGAGAAAGACAACGTCAGCTCCCTGTTAGGCAGGCAGAGATGTGTGATTTGGGGAAGGTCCTGGCACAGGTATTTCTCCCCTTTGCAAGTTTTTGCTGTACCAAAGCAATACTTTGTGGCCACTGAGGGCAGCTCGGGGTGTTGCTGCCACGCACTTGGGGTGGCTGGATGGGTCAGGATCCTGAAACACACCCCACAACCAGCACGTTCCCAGCTGTGGTGTCACAGTTCTCCCCTATTCAAGGCAGCCAAGCCAGCAGTGTCACTGGCCACCCCCTAGCCCCAGAGGGACTCATATTTCCAGCTCAGATGCTAGCCAGCGTCATACTGCTGTGGATTCCTCCATCCAGGGAAGCTGCCCGCTTACATGGAGGAGTGACTGAGCAAGCGTGAGCCCCAGAGGATCACATACCCCTGGCAAAGTCAGGTCAGGGCTGCTTCCAGCCTGTCCCAGCCCTGCCCTCCACCGGCTCCACCTTCCCCAAGTCCTGGAAGGAGCATTAAGGCAGCAGTGCTTCACCAGGGCGAGCCTGGAGGCTCTGCAATCCCCCTTCCTAAGGCTTTATCCTACCACAGCCCCTTCCAGCTGGCTCTATTGCTCTTGCAGAGCCAGGGTAGCTCTTAGAGCCCCACCACCTTTTAGCCCTGGGTGGGAGCAGAGGCTGTATGTGCTCTGGAAAATCCCAGTATCCCAACACTGGAAAGGAGTTGGGATATTGGGAGACCCTCAGCATTGCAGGTCACTGTAACACACATGGGCTGCTCCCCTACAGGCAGGGACCCAGCACATCTCCCTGCTCTGGGGCACACTTCGCCCCTCACCAGAGCTTCAGCACAAGGAAGGACATGGGTGGCTGATGCAACAGACACTGTCCCCTGAGCCCAGCATGGTCCTCTGGGCTTTGGCCAGCACTGGACACACCACTGGAGCAAGACCCTTGCAAGCCCAAGGGCTTTAGTCCCCCGCTTGGGGCCAGAGCCCAGATCCCGCACCCCATCAGGGTCCCAGTAGCACAAGTCCCACATGGACCCACATCCCCTGCTCTGCCTCCCACAGGAGGGGACATGGAGGGGCAGGAGAGCTCACAGGGGATGGCTTTCCCCACCCCGTGCCCGGCTCAGGGTGCTCTCTAGGACCCACTCTCGCAGTCCTCAGCCCTTCATCCCAGTTTCATGGGGGAAAGAAGCCTTCAGGCTCGGGTCCCCACGGGGCACAGACATCAGCGGGGTCGCACTTACGAATATGACCAAGTTGAAGAGGATCATCATGACCTTGATAAAGGTGAAGCACCCCATCTTTGCACCTGCGGAGAGCAGAGAGGTGACCGGGGGGATCCCCAACCTCAGCACAGCTCAGCCCCCCTCCGGGCGAGCCCCCC